AGTCTGGGGACCAGCTCATCGGAGAAGTTACCATGAAAGTATTTGTAAAAAAGACAGAGGGAGGCGACGGCACGTCTGTGAGAGAGCGACTGCAGACGAGATGCCAGATCAGGGCCAATTACATTGCATATCCGTCTCTGGTTCTTATCAAGAACCTTGAGACAAACATAAGGGGCACCAGACCATATATGGTAGCAATCCTCCATGCAAGCGCGAATGGTTGATTTGTAGATTTGAAGGATCGACTCCGACGAGAAAAATTTCCTGGCGCGGCACAGGGAGCCAACTTTCCTTGCGGTGGACGAAACTATTGACTCAATGTAATTGTTCCATCTCAGGTCGGCAATCAATGTGAGACCGAAGAGTCAGATTAAAAATGACGCATTTGTTAGCAGTAGTAACAGGCCCCTAATGAAAAAGGTACACGTGATAGTAGGAAAAAAGATTCTGGAAATTTATCTGTCGGTAAACTTTCCGAAAAATAGTGGGCCAAATATAGTCGATTCTACAGTCACAGAAACAAGCATCATAATTCACTGTCAGTTGAGCTTGTAGGGATCCAGATAGCAATTATCTCCCTTTTGATAGGACGAATTTACGAGGGTCTCATAGGATGGCCGGTGAGTGATCAACGTTAGTCGAGTATACAATGAGAAAGCCGGACGGTAGTCTCATTAAGGAACATGCAGTATGGCCGTTTTCGTTCGGGAAATATTATAAGTAAGAACCTTCCGATTTTTCCCTTTCACATTGCTTGTTTTATCCATATGTATTATATTTTCTTTGCATCGGATAATATAGCGCTAGACTAATATCAGTGGTTATATCGCTAAAACTACAAATCTAGAGCAATACTCTTTATGGACATCGTTGTCTAATCTGTTTAACGCCAGCAAGATACGAACAAACGTTCGGACTTCTACTTTTAGATAAAAAGATATGTACATATAAAAAATAATAGATGAAAAGATATGTACATATAAAAAATAAAACAAAGAGAGAGTTCAGTAGGGAATTCTTTGTAGGTTACTCGTATCGACTCGTATCGACATATATCTGATGAAGGTCAACGTACACGACGGCCGAAACATTGTGATATCAACAAAAGAAGCAGTGGACAATAGTCCGCATGAAAGTAGTGTAAATAATGATAACTCCTTATTCTAGAAATCTAAGAAATATTTGGTCTAAGTGTCCAATATTTCCACACAGAATTGTTCCTTATGGCAATAAACTAGTTGATTAAATGGTTGGTTCATGAATTTGGTGACATAGTAATTATGAGTTCAATCCCTGGAGCAGGCGGTGAGCACATTCAATCAATGGGCAAGCAATAACTGAATAGTGCTAAATTAGAACTGGACGATAGCCCGTAGATTAAATAAAGGATTCAATTCAAAATTCCTTGTAGGTTACCCGATTCGACATAAACCTGATGAAGGCCGGAGGGCACAACGGCCGAAACGTTGTGATAACAACAACAAAGATGAGGACTACAGTTCGGATATAAATAATAGAAATAAAACCTGTATAACTCTTCTTTTAAAAATCTGACAAAGAGTTATCTTTGTAAAACATAAGTTTTTTTTAAATTTATTTTTTTTTAAGCATTTCACCCCCAAAAAGGCGGTAGTGCCACTGATTTGCAGGGGGTGGGTACATAGAGAAAAACTGTGTATAGGGGGAATGAGGAAAGGATAAAAGATGCGAGTCTAGTAGCATGCTTAAATTTATGTAGTCGGCGCACCAGGGAAAATAGTTCGACGGAGCAGTAGGCATGGAAATATTTGTAGAAAAGACAGAGGGCAACCACGTCACGCCTGTGAGCAAGTGACTGGAGTCGAGATGTCAAGACAGGATCGATTGCATTGCAGATCCTTCTTTGGATTTTGTCGAGAACCTCGAGATGATCAGCTGGGGCACCAGAGCAGATATGACAACAGTACTCAATGTACGGATGAATGGTTGATTTGTAGATATGTAGGATGGATTCTGACAAGAAAAAACCTTCTGCCACGACACAGTAAGCTAAATTTCCTTGCAGCAGATGTAACTATTGATTCAATGTAGTTGTTCCACTTCAGATGATTTGAGAGCTTAAGGTCCAGAAAAAAGCGCAAAGAGACCTTCTCCTGGAATCCAGCATCAGTCATGCTAATAGTGGACAGGAAATTATTTCTGTGGTGGCTAAATGAGAGCAGTTTCATTTTGGAGGCATTAAAATTTATAAGCCATTTCCTGCCGCAGTTAACCACTGAATGAAGGTCCTCCTCGAGAGCAGCAGCCAAGTTGACTTTATCAGCGCTGCCGGGTTTACTATTGAGACAAGAGTAAATGGTAGTGTCATTTGCATAGATGCCTACTTGGCAGCTGATGACATCAGGAAGATCATTGATGATCAGAAACAGTATAGGACACAGGATAGAGTCTTGGTGATCCCTGCATTCATAAGGAAGGATCTGAAAGCCTGCCCGTTCAGAACGACCTTCATTTAGCGATTTGAAAAAAAAAATGATTGAATTAAATCAAATGGTCGTCCTGTAATACCGTAGCACTGAAGCTTACACAAAAGACTAGCAAGGAGGAGACCTCAGCAACGCTTTTCTGAATCGTGGTGGTGGTGGTGTGTGTGTGTGGGGGGGTGTAATTAAAAACCACATTCCAAGCGACGTCTCGAAGGAAATCACGGAATGAATCCCAACCTGCTCGTTGATAGCGGAAAGATATTTTGTTGGTAGGAGGGTCATGGTAGGAGGAGGAGGAGGAGGAGGAGTAGGGAGATGTTTACAGATACTACAGCGTGATCAGAATTGCCAAGAGGGCAGAGCTGCGTATTAGTCTAGGATAGAGGGAAAACAGAGATCGAGAAGAGAGGCGTTTCCGTCAGGGTTACTGGAGAAACGCATGGGGAAGTCAACTACTTGCGTGAGAGATTGAGTGATTGAAAAGTTAAGGGTTTGGATGACAGTGAGGTTAGTGGCAGGGTGCTTAAGCCACACCGGGTATGGTGGGAGTTATGAGCGGGCGGTCTGGAGATTCAAGAGACGGTTTGCTCGCCAACGGGAGATGTTCGCAGACATAAATTCCCAGGTCATTGCATGTGAACTTTAGAGTTCCTTTCTAAGTAGAGAAAGATAACTAGGAATCGAGAAACCCGAGGAAGGGATAGAAGAGTTGAGGTTAGTCTCGCAGACATCTAGAATGTCCGAAGACTTTTCGGAGAGGAACGATTCTACACGGTAGAGTTTGGTAGGAAAACCACAAATGTTGGAGAAGGAAAGGTTAAGGGTTTTTATGTGGATTTGTTGCGCTGGTTTAGGTTTATATCTTTGATTGTTTATAGTCATGATGTGTTGTTATATTGGTAAGGATGGTCCTGAGGTAGTCGTAGCCGTCGATCATTTGATGTGACATATACAGAAAGGGAAATGGCGCAGATTGCAACATAGTGTGGCCTCGGGGTTGCCCACCAGAGGTACCTACAGGGACACCCTTCCATGCGTGATATGGCACTGCAAGAACCCCGATATTATGCAACTGTTGATCAGAGCAGCGTCCTATCAGTCGGTAAGAACAACCAGAAAACTACCAACCCAAAGAGACGTTGCCATCACAAGAAACTCATGACGGCACCAATATTAAGCCCTGGAAAGAGGAAAGAAACCGGAAACTCCTTCCTACACAGAAGACAAGAGGTGAGCCTCTATTGGTATGGACCGAGGGATAACAGACTCAGGAAAGCAGTACCGCCCACTTTGTTAATCGCCGGGTTATATTCTGTGACATAAAGGCGGCCTCTAATATAAGAAAGTTTTTTCTATAGTTTTAGCTTGTTAAAGATATTCTGCCAAACGAGGTTCGCCTTTTTCTCTTGCGAATAACTGAAAAAGAATGAAAATGAAAGTAATTAGTTGGGCATAAAAGTCATTGGTTTTACAAGAAAAATTGAACTGCTGCTGTTGCGAAATCTTTTAGACTACCTCCAAAGTAGGATTTGTCTTTTTCTTTTTCTCATAGGCAAGAATAACTGACAGGTGCACGTGTTTGATAACCTCCGGTTAATGAGAAATACCGCAGATAAGTCAAAATGGAAATTTCACTTCCTTTCAAACAACTTGAGTGAGCCTATACAAAGTGGGTAGAAATTTTCACCCATTTGAAGAAAGGAAGGGTGACTGTTTCGGTCTTTTTTGTCTGAGATGAGCAGCACTGAATCGTGAGCCATACTGGTTTTTGTTATTGACAGAAAGAAAGAAGACTTTCAAGTCAACAAAAGATGCTTTATTATGGCGGTTCCTAAATTGAGAACACGAGAAATTGTTGAAATATCTACAGTTTCACTAATATGTTCTGAAAGAAAGAAAACAGGTCATTAAATTTTCAACAGCTTTTCATAAAATTCGAAGAAATGGCCAATTAGGCGATACTGCTGTCCATATAAGAAAACTGTATTGAAAAATAAAGATTAAGAAAACAAAACTTATTTTAAACTTCGAGTACTAAGGCAAGCAAAAAGTAAGAGCAGGAGTGAACTTTTAGATAACTGACTCTGCACCATCAGAAAAGTGCTACTACTTATAAACCTATTCTAAGTCAAAAGAGCTTAGGGTTAGGATATTTGATTTTTTCTTTTTCATATTCAGTGAAGCGATCATTCAATAACAATGGTGAGCCGGCTTGGCGACTTACAGAATCGAAAAAATGTATTTATTTCTTTCTTTCTTTTTTCTTTCTTTCTTTCTTTCTTTCTTTTATAAATAAACATTTTTTTTATCTAGCGATGAAATATGATTCCGAGATTCTAAACAAAAAAAAAAAAAGAACAAATATATTTAAAATTTAATTTTAAAACTGTTGTTAATGCGTAGAATAAAAAAAACGACAGAATGTTGTGGAGAACCATGATCTCCTACGTTCTGAAAGGACATGAAAGAATTAATTTTTCTAGCTCGAATTTCTATATTAATGCAGAAATGACAGAATATTGATCTAAATTTCAGAGTTTAAGATAGAAAGTTTGGAAGGCTGGAACGTGGATACGTACTACGATCTCTACACCAAAGGTAAGAATTTGATTTCCTATTCTACCAAGTAATGTCCTAGTCATCATTTACGGTATGTTCTATTTGTAACGCCGAGCAATTTTGGAAAACTTTACATAGATTCCTGTTGTTTTGTTATCGATAAAATTAACCTTTATTATGACATTCTGAATTCTATTTTCTATTAATAATTTAATATCTTTTGTATGCTTAAAGAGAAAAAAGATTGTATTTCATTTACTAAATAAAATCTGTAACATTTACATTTCAAAGTCTTTACAGCATTTTTTCTTATGAAAACGCCTTTTTGCTCCGGTTTTCCAGCATATTCTCCTTTATTATCATTATTATTATTTCGGGGTTGATATTGCCCCTCTCTAAATATTTCCTATTCTACCATTTAATGTCCTAGTCGTCATCCTCCTACTCTTCATCTTCGGTGTATTCTGTTTCTTATTCCACCATGTAAAATCCTTCACGGCATGTACGCTGTATTCTATATCCGATTCTACCATGTAATAACCTAGACGACACCTAGGGTGTATGCTATTTCCTGTTCTGCCATCCAATATCCTAGTCGTCATCTTCGGTGTATTCTGCTCTTATTCTATCATGCAGAATAGGAAAGAGAATACGATTTATTCTGTTTCTTGTTTTATCATGTAATGTCATAGAAGACATATTCGGTGGATTCTATATCCTGTCATAACAATACATGTCATGCCCTAAACATCATCTTCGGTGTATTCTATTTCCTCTTATACCATTTAATGTTCTAGTAGTCATCTTCTGTGTATTGTTTCCTCTTATAGCAAGTAATGTCCTAGACATCATCTTCTGTCTATTCTATTTCCTCTTACAGCATGTAATGTCCTAGTCGTCATCTTCGGGGGACAATAGTCCGAACAATGTAAATAGTGTAAATAATTTCTTAACCTCATCTCAGAAATATAGACATATCCTGAAGAAGACTGGAGTGTACAACGACTGAAATGTCGTGAAAATGACAACAAAATATGAGGACAATATTCCGAACAATGTAAACAGTTGCAATACTTAAACATACCTCATCTCAGAAAATAGACATTTAGTGGATTTTCTTTAATACGACTTGCTTATTGATAAGCGTTTTATATCTGTGGCTACATATACTGATATGTGGCTATACTGTTTTTAAATAGTGAAAATCAATATCTACCCATCTGGATTATCAAAAGTTTTATTAAGACAATAATAAGTACAATACGTAATAAAAAAAAAGAAGAGGGTAAAATAATACGAAGCAAATGATAAAAACTATTCATGGAATCGATAGCTCTAAGATTGTAACAAGAAACTTCATTATTCACTTCTACCCATCATCAAATGTCTCAAATATTCGTAAAATTTTAAATGACCCACATCAAATTTTCTAATATCCTTTCTCCTTGCAGTGTTTCATCGATATGGTTTCTTACTTGGCTTGTGGCAAGCAGAAATGCATCCATACGGCACAATGATACATATTCAGGTAAGCAATTGTAATATCTGAATGTAAGGGTAGTTAAAGGATTGCTTTCATTTCTGATGAATCCTATTTCTTCAGTTAATGGTTGGATAAAAGCTCTTTGTGAGTTTCACGACTATAACATATCCGTGGAAATCCCTCCCACCCCTCAAATAACTTAAATATTTGAGCTTAACAACTTGTTTGTGGCGTACAGTGGCCGTTAATAATTAAGTATAACTCAAGACTTCAATGTTAAATAAAACAGTATTTAATTACAACTACAAATAAATACTTAACAAGAACAAAGAAGTAAAACTCACCGAAAGTCAACCAAAGATAATTAACCATTTCAGTTAATACATTGTTGGTAGCGCGGCTCGGCTTAACGTCCGGTAAATCCTAATTCAAAACCCAAATCATCGACGCACAATAATTCACACCAATCGACTGGATAGTTCCACTCAATAATCACTGCAGTCAGTAGGCTGACAACGTTATTTATACACCCGGCGGAAAACATATATTTATTAGTCCAGAGTGTCATGCTCGAATCTCGTTATATATATATATATATATATATATATATATATATATATATATATATATATATATATATATATAAAAATATATAGAAAATAGGAAGGAACTGGTTAGGTAAATAATCCAAAGTCCCTTAGTATTTTAGTTATTATTTTTTAAAAATAGTGCTCGATACAAAAGTAGAGTATAAATATAATTATTTATTTAAAAATATGATTCCAAATCGCGACATAAGAAGTCCCATGTTTCAAAACAAGAGCCGAAAACAATAAAATTATTTAAATTAAATTGAGTTTTAAAATAAGCTCTGTTCCATCTTCAAGCGAATTTTTTTTTGGAATAACGTGTTTCTGAAATTTACGTGTTTTAAAAATTGAAATCAAAATTTCCATGGTAACAGCTAGGGCGAATTGTTTAAGTTGGGTAGGCGGGTGTTGGGTGTTAATAATAAGTATCAGTATAGAGTTACTTTCGTAGATGTCAAGTCAGGGAAAGGTGGGGGGTGTCTAAATTTTTTTGGGGGGTTCACCACTGCTGTATTTGTCTATGTATAGTCATATTTGTATATTGCGTGTGTTTTATTTGTATGTTTGCGTGTATATTTTTGCTTGTATATGTGAGTTTGCTCGCATCTATGTATATGTATGCGTTTGTGTGTGAATATATATGTGCTTATATATATTAGGAGGTACTGTGGAGTAGGAAGCACGGTGGAGTAATGGATAGCGGTTCTGATTGAGAGCCGAGTTCGAATTCCAGTCGAATCCATTACATTCACTTACGTGCTTGGGAAAGGTATGAATACTCTTCTTCTCCCTCCAGCTGGGTAAATAGCAAGACAGAACGGGTTCTATAGCTTTGGATGGCAACTGGTCTAAGAGAAGGACAATTCTGAATTCAGAACTTGCGGAGGGTTCTTTGGCAACCTTCTTGCACATTGATCTCTGTATTCGTCTCTTCAAAGAGTGTGTTTGGTTCTGCACAAAGCCTTCACCATTATAATGAAAGCCTATGTTGAAGGTGTGTCTGGCTGTCGCATCCTAGGAACTGAATTGACCCTCATACGTCGATTACGACGGGAGAGTCCAGTATATGTGTATGTGTTGCCTTGTTTATAGCCCGATATGTGAACTACGTATATGTATGCATCGTACATATGTATGCATATGCACTTCTTATTTTTATGTCATCTTCTTTTATATCTGTATGTTTGTTTCTGTATATTGATGGTTGGCTTGTGTTTATTTATTAATGCGTTTATGCTTGGACTTTGGTGAGTCTTATTGTTCGTTTATATGTGTGTGTGATTATTATTCGTTTATTTGTATGTGTGTGATTATTATTCGTTTATTTGTATGTGTGTGTGTGATTGCTCGTATGCCCTTTTACCTGTATTTACATTTGTCGGTAAAATAATGTTCTTTTGTGTGCTTTTATATGTGTGTTTGTCTTCATTTTTTATTCTCTCTATTTTCTATTTTTATTTTTTCTATTTTTCCTTCCTTTATGTGAATATACTTCCGTTTTTACGTGCTCATCTATTTACCCGCCTTTACTTATACATACGTGTTTGTGTATAATTATGTGAATGAGTTTGTCCTGTTTGAAAATTCTCTTTTCTCCTTACCTCCTTATTTGAATTCTGACTTCACATTTATCAAATATGTGTAGCGATCAGAGATACTTTTTAATAGTGTTTAACTTCACTGATAAATTGGCACTTTGCCTAGAATAATGATATCTATCTATCTATCTATCTATCTATCTATCTATCTATCTATCTATATATATATATATATATATATATATATATATTCAGCTGGTTTCATTTCTGAATAATCTTAAAATAATATAATTGATGCTTGGTTAACTTTAAATTTTGAGATTTTTAATTTTCCCCCTATTGAGGGTTTTTTTTTGACTTTTGAATTCATAAAATCATTTATTTTCCATTCCACATAATCACTTGATAAGACACTAGCAGTGTTGAAACAAAATTGCAACTTTGTAGTGATCTTATAATATGTATATGTTATAAATTTGAATACACACACACACACACACACATAGGAAGAAATATAGTCTTAAGGTGTGCTATATTTATGGGATAAAGTGCTCAATATCAGAGATAGAGTGTGTGTAAATAGAAAAGTGAACATTGAAGTTAACACTTAGGGGCGACAGTCTGTTTCATGCTAGACGCAGTCGTCAGGCTTGCGTCTAGTATGAAACAGACTGTCACCTCTAAGTGTTGACTTCAATGTTCATTTATATATATATATATATATATATTGTTTGTTTTTTGTTTTGGTCACGTGGTTATAATTTTTTGTTTATTGACTATATATTCCGTTCTTTCTTTACCTTTTTAGCCAGCCTTCCCTGACGATCTGCCTAGGTGAAACCTTGGTAGGTTTGTCTGGCTCTCTAGGTTTAACTATATATATATATATATAGAGAGAGAGAGAGAGAGTGGACTCTCCTATTGTGAACGATAAGTGTGGGTCAGCATTGGGTGGTGCCTTTCGTTTTACACTTATGCATTCTAGCAGGGGCTATTGTGGAGAAAATCAGGTAAGGTAAAGACATATTTCTTTTGTGCTTCCTTAAGTGTGATACCAGCCCAGCCCAGCCACTCTTTCTCTCTCTCTTTCTATATATATATATATAATTTTTGAATATATATATATATATATATATATATATATATATATATATATATATATATTCAAACATTATAACATAAGGATGTTATTACATAACTACAAAATAGCCATTTCGTTTCAGCACTTCTGGTGTCTTGTCAAGTGATGGTTTTGATAAAGAGTCTTATAAATAAAATAAAGTGTCTTAAAAAGTTCGAAACCAACCAAACCCCCTCGTTAGGGGAGACATTGTTGTGTAACCTATGACGACCAATCAGAATACAGTATATGATAATTAAAAAAAAACTTGACAACAGACTCTAAATATAATCTATTAATGAATAAATGTTAATGTTAGATTAAATTAGAAATCAGTAGAACTAATTAACATTGAATTTCACTGTAAAATTAAAAATTAAAAATCTCAAATGTTAAATTTAACCGATCTTGAAGTTTAAAATATTACAAAATTATTTAAAAAAGGAACAGGGAAAATATATATATATATATATATATATATATATATATATATATATATATATATATATATATATAATATTATTTATAAAAAATTATAACATAAATATGTTATAAAATCACTACAAAAATAGCCATTTTGTTTCAACACCCTCAGTGTCTTATCAAGTGATGATGTTGAAGATAAAATAAATGGTTTTAAAAGTTTCAAATTAATTAACGATCCTTCGCTAGGGGAAAACATTGTTACAAAAGCTAGAATGACCAATCAAAACCCAAGTATAGGAAGATTCAAAAGCTTGACAACGAAATCATGTTATAATAGCTATTCAGATCTTTAAAATACGAGTAATATTAAAAAGAATCTATTCTAACCAATAATTATTAAATTATATGATAGAATTTGATATTAAAATTAAAAACTGCCAGTTTTAAAATCCAAATTTAATCACTATTAAGTTTAAAAACTATAAAATTACTGAGGAGAAAAGAAAAAATACATATGTTATTCAATTTATTTCTTCGTTGAAATTACTTTAGAACAACCGCTAACAATATCCAGTCATTTGACAATACATGTATATATATTTGAATCCAAAGTGTATGAATGGGGTCTTAAACTCACGCGCAAAACAACAAAAACACAATCAGATTACAATACATAATCACCCAGACATATGTAGATATATATACACACAAAAAAGCAGCGAGACAGGAACATCTCCACAGCTCTTTATGAAAAAAGAAAACGGGGAAACCAACACCTACACACACACAATTAAAAGTGAATGCACTTTCCATACACATAAACACCGATAAATACATGTACACACATCCACAGACATTAACCATGACAATCAGATACCACAACCGATAAATATTTAAGACTGAACGTATCATTAAACAAATGCTAGCCACTTATTAAAATATAACATAAGCGTGCAAATATACAAAGATAAAAGTGGTTAAAATTAATGTTATTTAAATAATATATTAAAACGAAAATTCCAAAACCACAAATATCAATAAAAACATATTTTAATCATATAAGTTGATAATAGTTTCATTATATATATTAAGCGAAGGAAAACAGGATAAAGAAAACCTACAGAAATAAGTGTACTGTCATACGTATATACATATATACACGCGGCAGCAAACACCAACTAACACACATATACATACATACATACATATACATATATATACATATATATACACACACAGAAATACATACATATAAATATATAAACATAAACATATACGCACATATACATATCTATAATAACAAGTACACATACACATATATAAACATATATACACACATATATATACACACATTTTTATGCACACATACTCACATATATAAATATATGCACCAATATAAATACATGCACCAATACATATATGAACATATATACACACATAGACTAACTACTGTGGCAGTAATGACATACCAAAGTTTCCATACCTACACATACACACAAACAATCTCATATATAATAGGTGTCAACACACACATATACATCCACAAACATACATATATATACACATACATATATATCTACATATAAACATATACATAAATATATCTATCTATAATAACAAGTACCAATATATACGTGCATACATATAAATACAACAACATTCAACCAAATACATATATAAACGTACATACATATACATACATAAACATACACCCAAATATCTGCATACATCAATATACATATACCATAACATACATATATAAACACATTCATACAAACAGAAATATACGTAAATATAAATTTACATACACAATAAAATAGGACACATACAGATATATACATATATACACACACATGCACACACACATATATATATATATACACACACATACACACACACATATATATACAAATATACAGTGGCAAAAAGCCGAAATTAGGGGGCACCCAGTGAGGAACGAACTCACTACTCAGTCGCAATTGATCTAGCGAACCAAGCTTGCCAACCATTATACCGCCTCGAGGTGTTCATATATATATATATATATATATATATATATATATATATATATACACACACATACACAAATACACATACACATATACATCAACATTTTTTAACTTTTTCTCTTCTTATCTTCCATACCCTCCCACCTTATATATATATATATATATATATATATATATATACACGCACATATATATACACATATACACACAAACATACATATATATATATAAAAAACAAAAAACAAAAAATAAACTACATATAAATACACTTATATTCAAACCTACACATTCCTCAGTGCAAACACGCTAACCTACACATAAATAAATATATACACATATACACCAACACGAATAACACTATGTAGGTAAACAATACACATTCTTATCATCAGTATGACCATCAGGCAATAAAAATACTAATCTATTAAAATTACAGCGACATATCATTATCATTTAAAGTATACGACCCCTACACTAAGTTAAATTTATAATGGTATTTACAATTAACTGTAAGTTCATATCTTTGATTTAAGAGATCAGCCTTGTTTTTAAATCTAATAATTTCAAATTTCTCATTAAGGCATAGGTAACATGGGGTATATAGGGAGTTACATGTCCGAGCTTTCTTAACCAAACTCCATTTAACCGTAGGTGTTTTGTTCTTTTCTTTTAGATTCCAAAAATACTTGGATAATGAAGTCATGTACCTATAGTCACTGTGATTAAAGGATTGCATATGCCCCCGCCAGCGTTCCTTGAATGTTTTCATGGTGCTACTAATGTAAAATTTCTTTATATTTGGATTTTCAATTGTTGAAATAGTACTAAGATAGACTACAGAAGTAATCCCACAGTTATTTTGTAGTGGACAATTATTCGGATTCCTACAATTACATAAGTTGTTATTTGTGTTATATTTAGTATTGCAGTTAGTAACCTGTTGAGTAATCAAGCCTTTTGAATCCCTATACTTGTTAAAGACTATCTTGTTATGTTTTTTAATTATCTTCTCCAGGTTATCAGCACAACTATAGCTTAATTTAAGGGTATTAGGATTAAATATTTTACTAAGTGGGCTAGTTTCGGGGTTGGGGAAATGTTTCTTGATGAGGTTTAGAAATATACGTCCTAATTTAGTTTTAACCATTATATTGAAAGGGGGAGTGAACCAAATGATCTTTCTAGATCTTCTTATTATGGTTGCAATTAACAGGGTTTTTATATTGAATAGTGGTATTTTTGTATCCACTATTTTTGAGTGCAGAATTGTAAAAATCACGATGTTTATTAAAAACATCCTTGTTATAAGAGTTAGTGCTAATTCAAAATCCAATGGAAGAGGGTATGTGTTTGATAACTGAAGGGGGATGATTGGAATTTGGATGCACGTATATTGGGTTGGAATTAACCTTCCCATATGGTTGGAATGTGTTGCTAACAAGGTCTAGGGTGACGTCTAGAAAATTGTCTAACATTAGTTGTAACTATTGCCCTAAGACCTAAATCCTTAAATACCCCATGGATCATTTTCCTAATACGGTCTACCTTAATTTTAGTGGAGTTTTTAACACCTAATAATCCATCATCTCTATACAATCCTACACCATCTGAATCTAGACAATCGAAGGCACTTAAATTATACAAAAGAAATAATCCAACCAGGTCAGAAGCTTGAGCAGAATCCAAAGAACCCATTGAAATGTCAAAATTGTTGTTGCAAGACTTTTTGGTCCACTGTTCATTCTTGTAAATCAGAACAGAATTTCGGCATTTCATGATAATATCAACTTCATTCTCAGAAATAGTAGAGTATTCCCGGGCGAAGTCCAAGGCCAAAGTGAAAAGATTCTTCGATATAGAGGGATAATAGTCGATAATATCGAACTGTATGAAAGTACAGTTCGATATTATCGACTAATTTTGCTCGGTACTTTGTTAAATTTTATTGGCTCCTCTTTTTAATTCACTTCTTTTCTTTGGCAGCATGAAAAAGGAAAGTTGGTTGGATCGGAAACGATGGCGCCATGTCCACCTCATCTGCACAAGGCGATGCGCAAAAAACTGATGTTCACTGTGGAGTTAAACGAAGAAAATATAGTCGAATCCTTTTGTCATATGGGACCAAACCGCTTGTCTCATAAATGCAATATTTTCCCCGAGGATGTAAGTTTTGTTTTCTTGTAAATGATCTGGAAAATAAGAATCATAGATGAAAGATTAGAATTGAAAACTTCTGCAGTTATGAGTTGTCATTATTATTATTATTATTATTATTATTATTATTATTATTATTTTCTTTGATTTCTGGTGTATACTCATTTCTTTTGGGTCCCAACCAGAAACCTAATATTAGAAATGGCATCATGACATTTTCCACAGAGCATTTTTTGAGGAAAAAAAAGAAGAAAAAATTACCTAAGATCACACATATTTTACACAGATAAACCCCTTCGTAAGGTGTGGGCTGTACTTGTATGTGAGTAAATCTTTTTGTATTTGTAAGGCATGGAGTACCAGAAATCCCTGCAATGAGTTTATTGGAATCTTTTCCAATCAATCCGAGGGAACCATTTACAACAGTTCTCATTTGTCACATTTTTGAGATTTCGATTTCACGGTCTAAGTATTTTGATATTACCTCGTATTACTCACTCTTTCTTTCATTAGAAAGCGTGATATCCACCTATATCCCCAAATTATAAATAATTTGTGCTTATGTCTGCGGGGAGAGTTGTGTACATCATATTACTTGGGAATATTAGATTTTTTTTCAGGTCAGTGATCAGCTGTCAATTGGATGCTGTTGAAAGCATATTTTAGGTATTATTTTGTTTTCGTTTTATTTCACACGTTTTAACAAAAATGTAATAACGTCTCTTTACACACAACTTTAAATTTTTACGGTCTGATGGCTGTCGTGACTGCATTCGATATGGCTGCACCTGCGTCAACCTGAACGCGGCACCAACGATACCGACCATCCCTTAAAGCCTTGGGACAGCTGCTTAATGTGTTGCAACGACTCTCTCCTTCCACAGTGGGGCGTTTCGTTTATTCCCCATATATTTAGATTTGCTGGAATTGTTGGCAAAGCCCGACCATTCTACAGTAAAGGTTTCCTCGGCGCCTGCTCGGACTTCATTTTGTAATAACTGGCGCCTTTCTTTGTATCGTTTACTGGGAAAATAGCCCAATCCTGTCTTTCCTTTTGCCGTGATTCCTATTAAGGCTTTTTGTCTTAGCCTCTCTTCTGTCACAGCTAATTCCTTACTGGCGCTCCATTTTCTCTCTGCCCGGGTCTCTATTCCTGCTCCTCTCACATTCGGGTCTTTAGATTCTCTGAATTGAAGGACCTCCCTAGTCCGGCTTACTGGGAGCTTCTCTTTGAGGCCAGTAAGTGGTAGCTTTAGCGTATTTGTGTTAACATACAGCGCAACACTGCCTAAACTTTTAAGTAAGCCAAGTCATATTCTCAAACGTATTGTTATTTTCCTTTCCAATGTTTCTATCGTAGTGAGCGGGACTTCGTATAGCTGAAGCGGCCATAGAATGTTGAAATACCGACGCTTTAAATCGACCTGGCAGGCCCGATTTATCAATTTTTAATAAAGCTGTGTCGAGGTCGTTAATAATCTGGCGGATAGGGTCGTTAATAATCTGGCGGATAGGGTCAGACTATTATCGAATATCTTGTCCAAGTTCTTGATTGGTTTCTCTGAGAGCGTTGGGATATTTGTTCCCGCAATAGTAAATCTATATTTGTCGATGACCTGGCCTTTTTTTAATCATTGAGACCTTGATTTAGCGTGTTTTAATTTCATCTTAGCTCAGTCCATGTTCCTTTCATGACACCTCAAGAGCCACCTGCAACCTGTTACAGAGTTCATTGTGACCGTCAGGTCATCCATGTAAGCTCTTATTCGTGGCTACCGGACCCCTGACTCTGACTGAGGTCTACGGCACTCCCTCTCCGCAGCCTTGACAATCATAATCATAGCTAAGGCGAAACGTGCTGCCGATATTGTACAGCCGGTTATGATACCTCATTCAAGTCTGTGCCACGCAGACATAGTGGTTCTTGACGTTACTTGTTGGGATCTGATGCAATTGTTTCTTACCCACTCACGCACTTGGACGTATTTTGCTTTGCATATGAGACATATGAACATAAGAAATATCAAGATTGATTCCAAATCCAAATCCAGGGTTTTGTCACTCCTCTTGGAAGAACCCTTCCCTGATTTACCATGCCTGTAGTTGTACTCATCAGGCTTGGTTATTTGCGAGTTGGTGAAACTATTTAAGATGGAGGTTTTAAATTCATTTTGAGTTGTCCTTCTTCTAGACTGTTTGCCACCCGAGGCTGTAGGAACCAGTCTGTCCTTCTATGTACCCATACGAGAGATTTTAAATGTATTTGCAGTTAAGTGAATGTAACGGTCTCGACTGGAATCGAATTCGGCTCTCTGAATCCTCTGAACACTGAAATAATGTTTTTGCTTGGAGAAGTACTTGGAATCTTAAGTTCAATAATTCTGTATTTAACGTCGCCTCCGAAAAAGTTTGGGTAATACCGTGTAAGAGAAAAGTGAAGGCCTTAGAATACTGTTAGGCGTTATGGTAAGATTTCTTAATTAAATTATTTTAATTTAATAAAATTTATCAAATCTACCATTAGTCTTTGCATTGAATCCTGTTGCAATATATGGTCTCGTGCTCCCGTTGTTCATCTCAAGGTTCTCGACAAAATCCAGAGCCGGATATGCAATGTGATAGGTCCTGATCTGGCATCTCGTCTACAGTCGCTTTCTCACAGTCTTTTCTACAAATATTTCCATGGCAACTGCTCTGACGAGCTACTTTCTCTAGTACCCCAACTGCGTGAATTTAAGCGTGCTACTAGGTTGGCATCTCGGTCCCCGCTTTCACTGTCGAAAAAGTTAAATGTAACCGCCTCTTCTACTCCAACAGCTTCTTCTCTTGCACTTCCCGACAGTGGAACTCTATTCCTCCTACATGTTCCCCTGATAGCTATAATCTTCAAATATTCAAATGTATTGTCAATCGACATCGTCTAATTCCTTGATCCTGATCCACTTCCTTCTCTATATCCTTTCCTCAAACAAGCCTCTCTACTCTTTACTTTGCTCTCACCCTCTGTAACCCCTTGCGTGATGTTGTAGAGTAGCTAGCACCCTTTTAGCACTCTACTCGATGGCCTGGCTCATAGGCTTAAATAGTCTACGATTAAGGACATCAACAGTTGATTAATAAGTTGATACTAACCGTAAAATCAACGACTTTGTATCTAACGAAAAATCTAAACAGGTGTAGCTTAGTAGTTGTAAAATCTGTAATAACCACAAATATTATATATTAACCACATTTACCATTAATATTTATTAACATTAGCCCAGTACAAGACCACGTCCAATGGGGGTGGTAGAATTGTGTGACGTCAAATTGTCATATTTTCCAAGTTCATCTCAAGCTGGCACAATAGAAAACCTAACGTGGATCGAACCCACAAATAGTTCGCAAGGTATTTTTCTAATCATTACTCTACAGATGATAAAATAGCAAAGTTATTGTTTCTGGTGTATTTATGTCAGGTTACACTACGAGTGTAATTGGTAACTCAGTACTACATGCCACGAGGTCAGGTTATCGAGGGCTAAAACGGTTCGTCCACCAGGCCTTTTCTGTTGAGTGGAATGGCTGGAAACACAACAGGATTAAAAATAAGATCTGTCAAAAGACGGATGAAACTTCTTGTAGGGTCAACGGACATTTAACAAAATGGTGTTAGATTGGGGCGCTATAGCTATGGATGCGGCCAGTGCGCTGACGACATGTCATCGCTTGCTGGAGAGTATCGCTTGGTGGAGAGTATCGTATCGGTTAGGGCAGAGGCTACCACTCTGATGTAATCGACGGCCACGTATCCGTGACCAAGGCGAGCCTTCAAGTAGGAGGACACACCAAGTTGTGGTTCTTCATCCCGATGTATATCAGGAACTATCCATGGCTGCTCTTGTGCACAGGTGCCATGTCAAGGCAAATTGTTCTATAAGCGCTTGTCAGTCAAGATGGTCGTATCCCATATGAGATTCCTTTTTTCGACTACTGACGGTGCTGAAAACCGAGAATGCTCGTATCATTTCTTTCCACAGTTGAAGTCACAGTTGAGGCCACACTCTTTGCATAGTTAACAACATATTTTGAGGGTTATTATTATTATTATTAGTTCTAGGGATTTCTATTATATACCCACTTCAATCCGGGTACCAAACAGAGACCTAAGATCAGAAATGACTTCATGGCATTTTCCACTGGTAATTTTTATAAAAAAAACAAAAAAAATACCCTAATATCACACACATTTTACACAGATAAAGCTCTTTGTAATGGGTGTGCTGTATTTGTGAGTACAATCTTTTATATATCTGTAAGGAATGGGCTACCAGGAATCGCTTCAATGAGTCTACCGGAACCTTTTTCAATCAATTCGAGGGCTCCAACTACAACTGGAATTATTGATGTCCTCATGTGCCATATTTTTTTTAGATTTCCTCTTCAAGATTCTTGTATTTTGATAGATTTTTGAAGATCTTCAAAGAGACATTACAGTGTGCAGGGACTTCCATATCAATAAGAAAGCACATTGTGTTCTTGCGGTCTTTGCTCACGATTATTATATTTTTTTTATTTCCTTTGATTTCTGGTGTGTACACATTTCAAAATGGGTCCCACCCAGAGACCTGAGGTTAGAAATGGCATCATTACATTTTCCACTGACCAATTAAAAAAATAGGAAAAAGAAGCTGTCGTGAAAATCAAAGCATCTACACCGCTGCAGAGACTTACGACTCACCCCCTTCAGGTTTGGCACCAAAACACTTCCCGTCAATTCAAGGGGAGCCTGTCTGGTTGCAGAAAAAGTGGGACACAACCTTGTCCAAGAAAGAATCCAGTACAACCGTTGGATAAAACAGAAACTGTAATCTGATCTCCCAGAGGCTCGAGGGCTTCTTCAACAGAATTACCGACAAAGAAAACCAAAAGAGGACATTGTCTGACCTGGATAAATCCTTCAGACACGAATTCGATGCAGTCTAGGCTTACCAAGTATAAAAATTAAACACATCGAAAGATCAGAAGGT